TGAGGAAGGAAGTTGCAATCAACTTGCATTCCTAGATGCACTTTTGACTCAAGGGGAGGAGGGCTTAGTACCGCAGTCTACTTACATAAAGCGTAGCTGAACATGGTGGTATATGAATTTTCACACTTTCCGTCCATTGAAATACAAGAGATGCCTGGTAAAATTCTTATTTAAGAAGATTCAGAGTATTTGTACAACTCACTGCATAGGTAGTGAATGTGAAATACTGACGGATACTCTTGTTGAAGATGAACATCCTTCGGAGTTTCTTAATGGGCGTTAAGGTCAATTAGTTTAAAAGTCTATGTTTATTCCGTCCGAAAGAAGTGCGTTTACATCAATTAACCTTATTATGGGGAAATAAGTTGTAGGATTTTAAGACAGACTAAGTTATATCACCTGTAAAAGTTACTATACAGTTTAGCCTACAGTGTCAGCAAAAAAGTCAAAAGCATGCTCAACAACAAGCCCCACAAGTGATTACATTATTATGTCACACTGTATTCTGTATGCCCGTTTAAATCTGTATGTGTGTGGCTAAACACATAAAGGGAGGAGTAATTGCACGCCACACATGAGGGTTAGAGAACATATATACCCAGGTGTCTTGAAGAATAATTGAACTGTGGCAGACTATCAACCTCGTCCATAGCAAAACACACGATGCGTGCAAACAACAAGCTCACTGTCAAAACAGTTTTCAAGATTATCTACAAAAGCCGTTAGAGGGTGTATAGTGAAATAAGCTGAGGCCATAGTTGTCTATAAATTTAAACATCTCTCACCACCTGTATACACAAAGACAATTTTTATTACCCTTGATTATTGTCCTTCTTATTCTTAAAGCCCTTATCATTTTGTTTAAATTGTGATTTTTTTTCATAAATTGACTTGACAAGTAGATATTTATGGTTAGACTGTTCGAAGTGTATTTGCTCAAGTACATCACATCCTTCAGATAAACGGCGTCTTTTCACATATAATTTTATTGGATAGACTAATTTTTTAAAAATAATTAAAGCGAAAATGACACCACATACCTTTCAAGAGAAATTAGACGAAACTAATTACTTCATATAACCTCGCCTAGATTACTAGGTCACTAGTATTCTAGCCGGTCCCAAGCCCGGATAAAGAGGGAGGGTTGGGGCGTGGTGCTAGCAACTCCACCCCCAAAACTTAACCAAATTGCTACTAAAACTTCAACGCACAAAAACAAAATATATTCAAAATTCTAAAATTACAAATAGTGACCTTATTTTTCGCTGGAATCGGGGAAGTGAAATGACGCGGGCTGGTGAAAGCCTTCGGGAAGCCAGTCAGCCGATGTGCCTTCTTTCGATGAAAGCGAAAATAAGGATGGGGACGTGGAATGTTCGTACAATGTACGAAGCTGGGAAGGCTGCTCAGGTAGCCGCAGAAATGAGGAGATATAAAATAGAAGTGTTGGGAATCTGTGAGAGCAGATGGAACGGATGCGGAAGGAGCCAACTATCAACTGGAGAGACAATAATCTACTCCGGTCACCCAGAGGACGATCACGAGCACACCGAGGGAGTAGCCATCATGATGTCACCAACAGCGGCTAAGGCTCTCATGCAGTGGGAACCAATCTCCTCCAGGATAATGACAGCCAGGTTCAACTCAAAAGGAAGGAAGATTACAATCATCCAGTGCTACGCGCCTACAAACACCTCAGAACATGAGAAGAAGGAGGATTTCTACAGTCAACTACAAACAGTAATGGACAACGTCCCAAAGAGCGATATCAAAATCCTGATGGGCGACATGAATGCGAAACTGGGAGGAGACAATACAGGAAGAGAACTCACCATGGGTCGTGAGGCCCTCGGTGAAATGAACGAAAATGGCGAACTCTTCTCAGACTTCTGCGCCTTCAATGATTTGGTGATTGGTGGCAGTGTGTTCAAACACAGGGATATACACAAGGCAACATGGATTTCACCAGATGGACACACCAAAAACCAGATAGACTTCATTTCAATCTCAAGGAAGTGGAGACGGAGCCTACTGGACACAAGATCGAGGAGAGGAGCAGATGTGGGTTCAGACCACTATCTAGTACAAGGGACATTCAAGGTGAAGCTGAAAGCCTCGAGGATACCTGGGGATAGGCCACAATGCAAGTTCAACACGGAAAAACTGAAAGACACAACCACAAAGGACACTTTCACCGCAACTGTCAGAGCAAAGCAGGAAACACTACGTGGCACCACTGAGGAATCATCCGTGGAAGACCATTGGAACTCTCTGAAGGTAATTTTCAACGAAACGTGTTCAACGGTTTTAGGAAGAAAGAAGAGACAAGACAAGGAATGGCTCTCAACGGACACTTGGAAGCTAATAGAGGAGAGGAGAATGGTGAAAGAGAAAATGATTCAATGCAAAGATGGACAAGAGAAAGAGACGCTGAGCTCAACTTACACAGCACTGGACAAAGAAGTGAAGAAGAGTGCCAGGAAGGACAAAAGACAATTCTACGACAACCTGGCTACTGAAGCTGAGAAGGCAGCAGGCAAAAGGGATCTAAGGACACTATATCAGATAACCAAGTCTCTATCCGGGAAGAGATCAACACAAGTGAAACCTATAAAAGACAGCCAAGGGAACCCAATTACCAAAGAAGAAAGACAGATTAAACAATGGGCGGACCACTTCAAAGGACTCTTGAATCGACCACCACCTACAACCCGTCCAGTAATACCAACAACAGCACGTACACAACTGCAAGTGGACACCAATCCTCCAACGAAAGCTGAAGTCTTGAATGCAATCAAGCTTCTGAAAGCTGGAAAAGCAGCTGGACCAGATGGAATACCCCCGGAAGCACTGAAAGCGGACCCAGAAACGACAGCAGATATGCTGACTCCATTATTGCAAAAGGTCTGGAAGGAGGGAAAGGTGCCTACTGACTGGAGGAAAGGTTACCTCGTGAAACTACCAAAGAAGGGCGACCTGGGACTCTGCAAGAACTGGCGAGGAATCATGCTCCTGTCGACGCCAAGTAAAATCCTGAGTCACATCATCCTGGAGAGTATAAAGGACACACTGGATACAGAACTCCGACCAGAACAAGCTGGATTCAGGAAAGGCAAATCATGTTCTGACCAAACTGCAACTCTACGCATCATCATCACAGAACAAAGCATGGAATGGCAATCAAACCTCCATCTCAACTTCCTTCATAGACTTTGAGAAGGCCTTCGACAGCGTTGACCGCGAAGTAATTTGGAAACTACTCGAGTACTACGGCGTACCCCAAATATTCATCAACCTTATTCAACAACTGTACGACAACGGCACATGTCAAGTGATCCACAACGGAAAACTCAGCGAAGCGTTTGGAGTAAACACAGGAGTCAGACAAGGGTGCTTATTATCACCAATGATATTCCTAATTGTCGTGGACTGGATTATGCGTCAGACAGTGGGAAACGAGAAGACAGGGATATCCTGGACCGACGTGAAGAACCTAGAAGACCTGGATTTCGAGCGTGGATGATTTATGTTTGATGTCACACAAAATCGAAGACTTACAAGCGAAAACCGACAAACTGGTCGAAGAAGCAGCCAGAGAAGACAGGACTGCAGGTGAACATAGACAAGACGGAGGTTATGAAAATAACCAACCAACAACAGCAGCAACATCCAGTGCCAATCACCATCAACGGGAGGGATTTGAAAGAGGTTACTTCTTTCACTTATCTAGGGAGCATTGTCTCAACCACAGGAGGAACGGACGAGGATGTCAAATCGAGAATCGGGAAGGCGAGAAACACATTCATCAACCTGAAACCAATCTGGAAATCTTCGTCACTCACCATCAACAACAAAATTCGGATTTTCAATACAAACGTGAAGTCAATTTTGCTTTACGGATCAGAAACTTGGCGGGTCACCAAGAATATTTTCAACAGGTTGCAGACCTTTATCAACAACTGTCTTCGCTCCATACTGAAGATTAGATGGCCGGAAAGAATCACAAACAAGAAGCTATGGGAACAAACGAAACAGGAACCAATCGCCCAACAAATATGCAGGAGGAAGTGGAGATGGATTGGACACTCGCTGAGGAGGCCGTTGAGTGACATCGCGCGTCAGGCCCTCGAGTGGAACCCGAAAGGGAAGCGGCGAGTGGGACGTCCAAGGGTGACATGGAGGAGATCGTGTGAGGAGGAGATGAAACAGTATGGAATAACATGGACGCAAGTGAAAAGTATAGCAGAAGACAGAAGCAAGTGGAGACGTGCAGTTGAAGCCCTATGTTCCACTAGGAACCCAAGGGAACAATAATAATAATTACTTCATATGTGATCCACTATTTTGTGTCAATTTAAACAGCTACTAATTTGTTTAATTTATGGCGACTAGTGGTAGAGTCTCGGATGCTAATTCCATCCTTGTCAGATGGACGTAACTACATTCTTAATGACTGATGATGTTTCTACTGAGATTCAAATGCAGCACCCATCATGATGAAGTATTATCGAGTAGGTTAGTGGGAAAATAACGGGGAAAACGCGTGTTCTGAGTTCCACTGTTAGCCACAATCAACAGAAAAAGGCTTGAAAAAATAAAATTTCTGCGAAATCGCATTGTTTCTACTATTAGAGGTGGTTTCAGTCACCTAACAGCATCTGAAACTATGAGTTCTGGGTTCTAGCCTCAGTCGGACTACCGGATATGGAGGAATACTCAGTTGATGAATCCCAGATAAGATGAAAGCAACATCCTAGATTGCTCTGCTAATCACCATTAATCAAATTGTGCTATGTCAACGATCACGTGCCTTCAAAGAGTTCGTAATATCAAGCCACACTGATATGAAATGCATATCTATGCTCAATAATCTTGTCATGCAATTGTAAGGCCTGACATGAAGTCACTACTCCACCCACAAGAAAACCTGTATCTGCTTTAATCATGTTTTCTATTTACTAACTCTTGTTTTAATCATTCCATTTGATGATTATTGACAGGATGAAAAACGTGAGAATTTCATCGAAAAAGTTATGCAGTGTGACTACATAATCTACAACATTAAAGATGATTATAAGGCAATTGATGATGCCTTATGGATATTGGAAAAACTACACGATAATCTTGATAAGTTTGCCGCACAAAAACAATTTATCCTCATCTCATCGGTGTTAACATGGGCAAAAAGTTCACTACCAGATCCAGTAGGTCTTCTATTACATCATAAGTATCTCATGTGGGCGAAATTCTAGAATGATCCAGAGATGCCGTTCACTGATGATGATTACCTGAGAAGAAAGGCACATTCTAATTATAAAGAGCACATACTTGCTGAGAAGTCAGTAATACAACAAGGGAAAACAGTAAGTAAAATGTATAGTTATTCAAATAATAATGTTGTTACTGTTATTTCAGAATAAATTGAAACTACTCACTTATGTGGTGGCATGTGGTGTAACATACGGAGAGACTCAGAATGTGTTCCATCATTTTTTCAAGGTAATATAGTTCAGATAGAAGTGTTACTGACGATTTCTATGATTCCCATTTGCATAATCTTGTTTTTCTTTCATCCCTTTGCATCCTCAGGGGAACATAAATCTTTAAGATTCAATTTTTAGAGGCGGTATTGTTGTTTGTAGGTTGTGGCTGCCAGTCTCACGCCCAGCCTTCCCTCGTTTCCTTGACCTTACTACCGGTTAGTAAGCTAGGTGGGTGAAAATTGAACTGGAACCATATATGTGCTGATGGCTAGTCAGCATTATACCACTAAAGAGAGTGAATTATTCAGTTTCTATTTTCAGTATACATGATCCTCGAACACACGACTAGGAATTTCGTACAATGCCTTATAGGTGTCGCATTAAGATTGGTTATTTACAAATTATGCAGCTACACAAGGCCTATAATCACCACAACAAACTGCTTTCGGTAGGTTTCTGTTGACTTTGTAAATTACATTGAATGAATCAGTTGAGATGTTGTGAGAGGTATTTTGTTTCTAAGCCTCTCGTAAAAACCATATCTAATTGGAAATAATTATCACCTTTTATTCGCCGTCATAATTATGTAGAATCAAACAAGAATTGTCTCCATGTAAAATCATGTATTTAAATGCGATTGTACAGCTTTTGAAAATGAAATCGCCGAAAAGATCGACATCTTTGCTGAACTTCTTATTCTTCTCAATAATAAGAGGAGTAGTTGCATAAGGGTGTTAGAGTTACGTTATAAGATGAATAATTTTTTGATGAATGAGTTGTAATATTGGATACACACAGAAACGATAGAGTAAATGTTATGAAAAAAATATACAAGAGTTATTGGGAGTTGAAAAACGAACAAACAAAGATCAGCTCGCTGGGGAAACCGAAAACTGTTACCTTGACGTGGTGGTCGGGCTTGTACACCACAATGACCCAACAAGCTATACTGGCTGTTACTTATGTCGCTTGAGGTCCTACCATGCCAGGAAGGTTGTTTGGATAGCGGTTAGACAAAAAGCAGTTACAATTCATGTGTAATCCCCGTCCAGGCATTAATGAAAACAAAACACTTAGATCAGCGAAGAGTCTCTTTTCGGTGGCGAATTCATTTTCTTAGCTGTACAATCACAAATATATGTGTGGGTTATTTTGTATGTATGTGTACATTAAGTTTATCAAACAAAAATACAATTGGTTATAGTTATTTAAACTAAACAGGTGAAGATTGGTAATTGGAGTTACGTAATACAAAATCAGTCAAGAAAATTAAATGTTATTGAAATTAGGGTAGGAACAAAGGTGATGAGTTGTCACAAACAGTTGTTAAAAGAAGTTATGTAATAATATGAATAGTTTGATGAGTGAGTTTTACTCAGGATGCACATAGGAACAAAGTAGATAATACAAAATTACGTAAGAGTTCTAAATGAATACAAGAATTATAAGCAATTAAAGAACAGGCAAAGAGACAAAATTAAGTCATCAAAATGAAAAAAATCAAATCAAAATAGTTGTTACCGAGACATTAGAAGTGGTTGAGTAATCCTCTTTTGTATGCACAGCTCCGGTTTTTCTATGTGAATGACCAGAGCTTCAGCGATACAAAGAAGGCGAAACCGTATCGCTATAAGTATAACCAATTGTATTTTTGTTTGATGAACTTATTGTACACATACATACAAAATAACACATATGTATTTGCGATTGTACAGCTAAGAAAATGAATTCACCGAAAAGAGACTCTTCGCTGATCTACGTGTTTTGTTTTCAAAAAGCAGTTACCCAATCCAATGCTATGACTCAAACAAATTCACGAAATATCATGCCGGATCGGTCGGGGCCCGGATTAACAACGACCGCGCTTCCTGCTGCCGTGTCACAGGGCAGAAGTGATAAATATGCTACTGAGACACATCAAATAAAAAAGAACAAACAAAAACAGGCCGTGTGTGACCGGCCTCAAGCAGTCGTCCCCTGGGCTCTACGGTCACGCAACCAACTTCTACGGTGTGGGCAGCTGGGAAGTAACAATCACCCTCACAATCTGAAATGCACGCGGTGGGAAACAAAAACAAGGTTGTCACCTTGATAGTAGAATTGACTGTCTCTGAATGTCTATAGATTCAGCAGTGCAGAGGAGACAAAAGCGTATTGTCATTAGCAGGTTGTTTTTCACACTGCAGATTATTTTGAAGGATGAGTTTGCTGAGACAGAATAACCAGTGTTGAGCCAATGCTGCCTTTCTTTGACCGCGCGAGATATGTGTCCAACGACCAATATACCTGGCTCCACAGTAACAGAAGAACTCGTAAACACACATAGGACTGGTCAAATCCGATATCTTATCATTCAGGCCGCTGCAGATCAATGTTTGATTGAAGAACACTACTGTTAACTTTGGTGCAAACGATGTTTTTCTCAAAGATGCTGAAATTCTTCTCTTAGGAATACTGTAGGTTAAGTCTGCCTTTGCAATCCAAGTTCGTATAGAGTTTCTTTCCTGGAACAAGTAGCTGCTTATTTCTCTGAACTTTCGGTTTGATATTGTGGTCGATGCACCTTAGTGTGTATCCGTTTTAGATTATTTCTTCCACAGGAAATACCTCTTCTTCTATAGCGGCGTCAGGGCTACAGATTCACAGGATGTGAGCGGCAAATGATTCGATTAAATTCTGTCTCCTTTCAGCAGGCACTATACTGTTGAAACTTGTCAGCTGGCTGTTCCATGTGAGTTTCCTATGAACAGACTTTTTATTTCCTATCGGCTTTTTCATATCAAGAAAGGGAATCTAGCCTATGTTCCTCATTTTAACAGTGAATTTTATTGTTAAATAACAGTTGTTAAATACCACGAACAACTGCTTGACGTAATAGTTCTCGTCACAAATGATAAAATGAAAAGAGCCTCTTAGCTGAACAGTTTGTCTCATTCTTCTGATAAATGGCCTCATGCTGAATCCCTCAAAATACCAGACTACTGACTTCTTTAGGCATAAACGAGATCTACAAACACTAATAAGTACTCATGAAGCCTGTAGCATTGAGGGGAGCAAAATTGAAACTAAGTCTAATGCAAAATACCTTGGTCTAGTTCTATCTTCCGGCCTTACTTGGAAGTCTCATATCCTAACGATTTCTAAGAAAGTGTTCCGTCTAACCTACTACATTAAGAAACTTAGACTGTCTGAAATCACCCAACCTCTACTTTCACAATTTGTCAACTCTCGTATCTTACTGTGTTCTAAGTGACAGAGACAATGTTAAGCGCGAAACCTATGACTTGCTTTGTTGTTAATAATCATAATTTTAGGCTCTTTTATTTCTCTCTTATTTTGTATTCTATTGTGAACTTCTTCTTAAAAATACTTAGCTAGCTAAATTATTGACATTGGCTTACTTTTTTGTACTTTATTCTATTCCTTCTTCTGTGTATCTACTGGTTCCGACTATATTAGCACTATGAGTATTACAAAATTGTCCTGTCATTAACCACCATGTAATTATTAGTTTTTGTGGCTGCTGTTTTGTTTTTTTTTGTTCGGCAATATTAACTGATAATCTTGGTTGTGAACGCCATTGTCACCACCTTAAAATTTTGTATTATGCAGGATTACCCACACTACCACTACAAACACTACATTAGAGCTGACAATAAAAAACCCTGAAATGTTATTTTATGATTGTTTAGTGTTGTTCAACCAAATTAACTGATCATCTTGGCGATAAACACTCTTAAATATCATTTCACAACTACTTGTATGACTATAGCTTTACTGTCACCATGCATAATCATATCATAGCTTCCATTACCCAATACTGAGACACTATTATATGCTGTTTATTTGCCTTTCTACTTCTTGGTATTTTTTCGCATATTTTTAGTATTTTTGTGTTTGTTTTTGTTGTTGTTGCCTTAATATTTATTTTTTTTGAAATACTCCTTTTAAATATTTGGCAAAATTAGATGCAAATATTGTAGATATGTGCTGGAAATTCCACACTGTATCACTAGTAATGTTTCTGGAATAGAGCAAAATTAATATTATTATTATTGATGCCTGGATGGCGATTTTCCATGGATTGGTAATTTTCACCTACATTAGAAGACAATCAGTCAAAGTCAAGATCATCTGTGGGGCGAGGTTACATTACTCATGAAGAAGTTCTAAAGCTCATTTCATCACTGTGAAAGTTAGAGCCTCAGTGCTGTTGTCTGGAAGGCAAACAATGTAAGTTCCCTCATGAAGAGCATCTACCTTATACAAAAAACCCAACTAAACCCAAAACAACCCAACCGGAGATTTAAATTCTTTCCATCATATATATATATGTATACATATATATTGAATGACGTAATATAATTGACAGGCTGATTAGAATTCAACTAAAGCTGAACGAGGATCAAGTTAACGACAGTGGCAGATCAAACAAAAACTCACGGACAACCTCCGAAAACTAAAGACTGAATCATCTATTCACACTGAAACGTTCGAATCGCTAAGTCCCTCTGACTCAACTATATCCCAACTCCATGGATTACCGGAAGTACTCACAAAAGGCAGATCTCTTCGACCTAATCTCCATTTAACAGATTCACGTCATCATCGCACTGACCAATGACTAGAAGACCTACTAGAACCAATCAGAAGACAAGCTTCCTTCCACTCACTCTGAGATTTCTTCGATTTCGTCCATTTCATTGAAAACATCAATGTTTCCAACAAAACCATGTTGTCACTAGATGTCATACCACTGTTTACAAACGTCCCACTAACTAAAACAATATGCTTTATATGTGAGAATATTGATTCAAAGGAGATGAACTCTAGCATACTGGCTAACTTTTTGAAGGAACTCCTACTGAGATGCACACTCAACGTCCAATTATCTTCCCATAACGAAATATATTTCGGTGGTAAGCTACCACCACCACTAGCCTCATCAGGGTGTATCTATCTATTCACTTGGTCATGTGGAGCAAGGTATGTTGGCCGTAAATGGCATTCGCATCCCTAACGTAT